ATAGCATTCATGAGAATTCTGGCTCTTTTCTCATGCTCAGTTAAATAAGTTAGAAACAAATTTATTTATATACAGTTGATTTTCAGCTGGGGGGGGGAAATCACTTGAAACATTTCCTGACCTTTGAAACCAATGACCCTTATTCCTCCATTCTAAAAATAAACAAATGGTTTAAGGGTGATAGATCACTTCTTGTTACCCAGATGGTTTGCTGAAGTTATTTTAAATGTATGATTAGAAAAGCAGATGTTTGTGGTCACGACACAGTTTTATCCCCTCATTTTCACAATCCTTTTACTCTGCAGTGTGGTTTTCTTCTCAAGCATTTCACTGGGATTAGTTTTCTGTTTATCTGATAGGTACTGATGAAAACAGTGAAGTGATTAAAGTATGCATCCTTCCGTATAGGTATTCTGCATCAACACTCGATGTGCATTTGGGTGACCACAGTTCCCGACTCAGCAAGTGATGTGTGAAAAGACTTGCTTAATAGGTCTGAGACACATGTGTGCAAAATAGGAGGCCTGAGCAAAATTGGCCTTTCAAAATTCTCCATGCTATATGTGGGTAGAAAATCTGGAGGGGAGGGTGATACTGAATAGTCTCTAGGGGAGAAGCAAAATTATCCAACAGTTCAAGTCTGACACCCACAAAAAGAATATTTTCCAAAAAAAAATGTCAGAAATTGGAGCATTGTTATTAATATTATTATTATTATTATTAAATTTGTACTATTGTTAGCTCATATTGGTGGATGAAGGAGCCAATGCAAGGACTGGAAGGAATAGAGATCAGGTTTCTTCATGAATGAAACATAATATGTTTCTTCAAACATATTGAAATAATATTTAATAATATTAAAACAGTTGTGCCTAAAATTCATGAATGGTAAAACCGGGAAGACTATTTCACCAAATATTCTCTGGGGGAGAGTGGAAATTTCCCAACATTTTACAAGGAACTCGAATAAGGATATTTAAAACAACAACAATAAAAACCCAGATCAACCCTATAAAATACTACTGTAGTCCTCTTGTCTTCTGTTTGAAAGAGGATGGCTTTTAAAACAATATTTGGGATTCCTGAAAAGGAAGCCTTCTTAATTTTGGGGAAATTGTAAATACTGCAGATCCATACTTGTGAATTCTGGTGCCTCGGTAAGGGATTAATTGGATGAAAATCCATTATATAAATGCAGCCCTCCCAGTCCCTCAATTTGAGGATTTTAACATCAATTTTGGGGGTAGAGTGGGTAAACCATATCCCTGATTTTATGCAGGCACATATGGTGTTTGTGGTTCGAGGACCCGACCCCCGCGATGTGAAATGAATACACAAGGACACGTGATATAAGGTTAATGGGCATGGAAAGGCCACAACTTTATTGATTACAGCAGTGAAAAGGTATTGGCTTAGGCATTGGATCTCTAAAACACGTGGGTTTATTCACCAGTAGGTGGAGCCTGTTGATGCTAATCCAACTATAGGCTCCCCCCTGATGTCACCGAGGGTCGTGCCATGGCCTCCCGCCAAGCAGGCATCGGACAGAACACACGACCGCCAGATTCCTTTAACGGAATACCCACACATTGAAGGCATAGGCGATGGCCACACCTAGCCCTTCGACACACCACAACACATTATTCCAATGCCTAACCGCCACCCGAGCCTAAAGGCTCACCGCCAATACCCTCACGGCTGCAACCAATCCCAGATACTATTGCTGACACTACCTAACCAAATATCGTTCCCCAGATCTGATAGATGCACCCCGTCATTCCGGTATAAGGCTTGGTCGCTGATCCGGAGACGGTCATGATAAATGACACGGCCATACATGAAGCGCACCCAACGGGAAGCTGCCCGATTCACGAGTTTTCTGGTTTTTTCAATGGCCATACAGCTCTGCGCACCGCGCCAATAAATTCTCTTCAGGAGGGAGGACCAGAACACCGTCGTTCTGGGACACAAAGCAGCAAACGCATTCAAGTCTCTTTTTATGTCTGACAACAAGTCCACACTCCTTCTGCTAGCAAGGTCATTCTCCCCCAATTGAATGACAAGGATGTCGGGAGGGCCAAACGTGGCTACCTTCTCCCACAGCAACGGCATAAGCTCTTCCCAACACATGCCTCTTCTCGAAAACCAGGAAACTCGAACTCCGGGTGGAAAACCAAGATTAGGCGTGAGGCCGCGGCTGACCGCCCGTACGCGGGCCCAATAGACTATACTGTGGCCGCAAATCCACACACTTCTCCTGAGCGCAGCTGAGGACAAAAGGACAGAAAGAGCAGGTAAGTGGGGTAATGTAGCCGAGCGCGTTCTAGCGAATATAACTCTTATAAGCGTTGGATTTCCACCGGCCCATTTCTTTAATCCTATCCGCCGGCAGCCCCAAGTGGGCGGCAGTTGTTGCGGTGCCAATTCTAAATGAGTGTGCAGCATACTCTTGGGAGGACACACCACAAGCTTCGATAGCCTTGCGGAGTACCCTGGTGAATTGGTGTCTCAATAAAGGTGACCCATCTTCATGAACCAAAAATGGACCCGGGCCGGGTGGTCTGAGGTAGAGGTACCGCCTAGTGTCCTTTACAGGGCATGGGCCCCGCTGCGCCGACGCTGTAAGTTTTACTAGGACACCCCTACCGGCCTGATCGGTTTTGGACTGACGAATCCGCACCGTCACAGAAGTTTCGGACAACTGCACGTCCTCCCAGAGGAGGCCGCGTGTTGGACCGCGTGCCCTAGCTTCAACCACCACTTCGCCAACTCTCAGCGCGCCAAAGAAGGCGATCGCGTACGCTGAGGAAGAGACGGGCCTCAAACTTGGACCAGCAAATTGATCTGAGTTTTATGCGTATCTGCGATAGCAACCCATAAGAAATTGGCTTACGGCCCTCGGCCCTGGGAGGTTGTAACCTGCCCCAACCCTCAATAGCTCTACGGATCAGGAAGTCGCTACACGGGTCCAAGGAAAATGTGGCTTTTGAAAAGAAGCTGATGGCGGCAACGTGTATCTTTAAGGTCTTGGGAGCACGTCCCAAATCATCAAGATGGGAAAGGTACTGCAGGACATCATCGGCGGTGGGTGGCACGTTATGCGACAGCCCAGATAACCCAGACCTGAAACCCAGGAAATCGCACCAGGCCTTCTTGTAAGACCTGAGAGTGGAAGGTGCGACGGACACTAATACTCCCTGTATCACTTTGCGTCTCCAACGTTCCACAGGTGCTCCGGAAAGGGTTCGGGCAACAGTTGTGCTCCAGGTGCTAGTGACCGGAAGCGAGATATCTGAAAGCGAGACAAGGCATCGGCTATATCATTATTGGCTCCTGGTATGAATTTGGCTGAAAAAATTATGTTGTACTCAAGGCACCGGAGAACGAACGCCCGCAGGAGGGAGGAGACCCTCTCGGACCGTGATGACTGCCTGGCTAGTATGTTCACCACCGCTAGGTTGTCGGTCCTGAAGCATACGCGGCGATTTCGAAAGTCCTCCGTCCAGATGTGAACGGCCACCACTATTGGAAAAAACTCAAGAAAGGTGAGATCCCGCGTGATGGCCTGACCCTGCCATGCCGTTGGCCATCGTTGCGCGCACCAACGTCCCCTGAAGTACAAGCCAAAGCCCAGAGACCCAGCCGCGTCTGATTGGACCTGGAAGTCTGATGACAAATTTAAAACATCCTGCCATAGTGATACCCCATTGTAGTTTTCCAAGAATGATGTCCACACCTCCAGATCGGCCTTAACTGACTTGGAAAGGCGGACCCTGTGGTGTGGGTGTCTGAGACCAACTGACAACCTGGCTAAGCGGGCACAGAAGGGGCGTCCGGGGGAAACTACCCTGCAAGCGAAGTTAAAGTGACCTAATAGGGATTGAATTTGTCTAAGGGTGATCTTCTTTAGCGTAAGGGTGTCTCGGATTATTTCCTTGAGGGCATCAATTTTTTCCCCAGGTAGACGGGATGACTGGGCCATTGTATCCAACTCTATGCCCAGGTACGTGAGGCGCGTAGCCGGTCCCTCGGTTTTTTCAGCTGCAAGGGGAACACCCAGGTCCTGGGCCAGAGCTGAGAAGGCCCCAAGCAAGGAGGCGCATTCCTCCGTGTTGGACTTACCCACGAAAAGAAAATCATCCAGATAGTGCGTGACCCCAGTGGACTTGGTCCTGAAACGCAGGGCCCAGTCCAAGAACGTGCTGAAAGTTTCGAATGCTGAACAGGCTACTGCACAGCCCATTGGCATGGCCCTGTCAACGTAGTATTTTCCTTGAAATTTGAAGCCCAGCAACCAAAAGTCACTAGGGTGCACTGGTAAAAGGCGGAAGGCCGATTCAATATCGCACTTTGCTAAAAGTGCCCCGCGACCAAAACTCCGAATTAATTTAACTGCCTGGTCAAAGGAAGCGTATTTTACCGTGCATAACTCTTGCGGGATGGCGTCGTTCACCGAGCCGCCTTTCGGATAAGAAAGATTGTGAATGAGCCTAAATTCCCCAGGGGTCTTCTTGGGGACGATGCCTAATGGCGATACGTGTAAATTCGGGATGGGGGGTCTGTCAAACGGGCCAGCTACCCTGCCTGCGCTCACTTCCTTGGCTATCTTTCTCTCGGCGACTTCCGGTCTCTCCCTAACTGACTTTTGATTGGGGGAATCTTTCGCTATCAGAGCACCTGCAATAGGGATTCTAAACCTACTGGAAAATCCTTCTCGGAGGTAGGAAGCTGCATTTTTATCCGGGTAAAAAGACAGAAGGTTGCAAAGGGGGGCAAGCTTGATGGGGGAAAACGCCAATTCCAGAACTACCCTATCTTCTGTTCCCTGCCGTGGGGGCTCCCCTGGAACTGGAATGATGGAACCCCCGGCCTCCACGAAAGGGCTGCTTCCCCCCTTTAAAGCAAGATGTTATGGGGTGAGCCCCGGCGCATCTGTCACATTCGTGCGAGTATTTACAAGATGACCTTTGGCATAACCCTTTATTGTACTCCCAGCATACCCTGCGCTTGAAATCCCTTCTTTGCTCGGTCCTGGCCGATCTATATGAGTCAGCCTGTTTTTTCTCCACATATGGGCCAACTTCCACTGACCAGATGCCGTTCTCGATCTGATCCCAGCGTGCTAACGGGATCCTCGAAGCCTTCCTTCGAAACTTCTTGTCGTAGCTTATGGCGGCGGCTTCCCCTGAGAGGGCGCAAGCCGTACGGATATGCGAAAGGTAGGCAACAAGATGAACCGCTCGCTTTGGATAAGCAGCTACAATCGTCCCCATAAAGGCCTGAAAACCATCTAGCCAGTTTTCAAATGTCCTAGGCACGGGAGGGTACTTGCTCTTTCTCTTCCCATGGGAAGGCCTCTTCTCTCCCCTACCTAACTCCTCCGCAGGAGGAACTAACTTGAACATATCAACAAACTCACCATTTAAAATTTTTGTGCGTAATTTAGGGGATAGATGATCACCTGGGATAACGTCTGAGGTTGAATAGGTGGAAGTGGTGGCGTCCTTTACCAGAGCCCCATCCTTCCATTCCTGGGTTCCACTCGCGACGAGACGAAGGCGAAGAATGAGGCCAGGGAGAGGCTGGCACTGCAGCATAAGGCTGCTGAACACGCCCCCTCCGAGGCACCTGGTTGGATGCCTGCAGAGGGGGCGTGGGTGCCAGCCAGGTGAGGTGGAGGCAGGGGCAGCCGCCCCTGCTAGGGGCGGTGCTCGGGCTCCCGCCCACAGCCACTCCCCTCTCTTCCAGGGAGGAGAGTC